TAGGACTCGCAAGTCGTATGACATAAATGTGTGATTTATGTGAATGTATCGGTGTTGGCCATCTATCAATTGCTTATATTTTAGTCATTGTTCATGGTTGGTTTAGTATATTTCTACTGGGCTGTGGCTCACCCTATACGGGAATATCATTTTCAGGTACAGGTAGCATGCCACCTCCAAGGACGTAGCTTGGGAGGCTAGAGGCAGGCGGACTTTTTGTTATTTTGTTCTTTTGATGTATTACATGTAAATTCAGGCCAAGGGCTTAAGGTGTATGAGTTAGTACTCTTTTTGTTGTAACCAAGTGTTAACTTGGAAAGCTGTAAGCTCGTAGGGCATTTCGCTTTTGTTGTTAACATGTAATACTTATGTAATGGAACCCTCATGAATGAAAGAATGTGGAACTTTTGTATATCAAGGCATGTCTAAATTGTTGGGTTTAATGTTATTATTTTGAGGGCGTTACATAGTAGGAGACGATGAGCCGGAAACCTTCGAAGACATTTGGCTATCCTAGAAAATTTAGAAATTTCACTTTTGATGTTTTGTACAGTTCATATGAAATTTTAAATTTTCTTTTGGGATGTAATGTTAATGAAATGAGCTTTTGTAATTAAGGATATCTGTAATCATCCTATTATTATGTACTTATATTCCAACATCAATATAATCTCTGACGTTGCTTATGAGACCTTGTGTCAATGCCTCTTAAGATCTGTCAAAAGGGTAGTGCGCTACCTAAGAAAGCTAGACTTAGAAGGGAGGCTATTTTGACTCCTCCGGTGATCTGGGATCTTATTTGGTTATTGGCCACAGGACTCATTAGTGACTTTTCCTTGACTACAACCCTTAGTGTAGATTTGGGGTGTCACAATAATTATCTCATAATTTTTGTATTAAGGAGCACTAAGAGTGACATTTAGATAATCAATATATCTATATATTTTATAAAAGAATACTTTTAAGGAGAGATATTATGAGAGTTTAAAATCTCATATAAAATTATTTTTAAAATCAAAACTTCTATGTGAAATTGTAAAATAAAAAGTTAAATAGAAGTTAGCCAATTAGGATTTTCTTAGTTGTTTAAAATTAAGAAAATCCAAAAAATTAGTATGAGATATTAATCATAAGGCTTTTCACTAAAAATCTTATTTTGCTTATAAAAATAGGAGTATAACATTCACTTTCTGTAAATGAAACAATTCATTTTTTCCTTCTTTTCTTGATGTGGGATTATAAAATAAAAGTTAAATGAAAGCTAACCAATGATAATTTTCTTAATTTTTTAAAAGTTAACAATTGTTTGGGCGGGAAGTTTATTTCGAATTAGGCAATCTTGGCCATTCAATCTTGGCGGTTTTATCTTTAATTAGGTTAATCTTTCGAATCAAACAAATTTAACCAATATATTCTCGATGTGAGATTATCAAATAAAAACTAACCAATGAAGATTTTCTTAATTGTTTAAAGTTAAGAAAATTAGTTTGAGATATTGAAACTCTCACAAGGTTCCTCACTAAAAATATCATTTTTCTTATATAATATATAAATAAATAAATAGATAGATAAATATATCTTTTTATTTTTATTTTTATTTTTATTTTTATTTTTATGTGGTTTCTATTCGAATATTTTTTTTTTTTAATTTATTTAATATGGAGTTGTGGGTACTTTTTATGCCCTCGCAATCAAGTCCGCAATGACCAAGGAAGAGAATACAATGGTATCTCTGCGCTTTCCTTTCTTGTTTTCTCAGTCCCCAAAGGCCCCCATCAACGGCCGACCCAATGTTCACTCTCGCTCCTTCTCCGCCTCCGCCGTCGCGTGCTCCGTCGCCGCCGCTGGCGCCGCCTACGCCATCTCCCAAAACCCCACTAACGCATTTCTCCAAAATGCTTTGAATTTCTTGGTCTCAAATTTCTGCTTTTTTATAAAAATAATTTAACAATCTTATCACTAACCATAGTGTATGAGAGAAGTTGAAAAGGGTACTGTAGTAACTATACACGGATTGTATCTATAATTATTTATATGAGAGGATTTTAAATGCTGATTAGGGAATTTTGACCAAATCAATAAATGCAGGCATGTGGAAAGACATGTGAATTGAAAAAAGTTAATAAACGTCGATTAGGGGATTTTGAGCAAATCAATAAATGTTGAGTTTTTTTTTTTTAATAAGAAATTTAGAAAATTCAGATTGGGATATTGAAACTCCCACATGCCTTGGGGTTAAAAATCTCATTTTGCTTAATATATAGTATAGACTAGCATATCACCCGTGCTATGCATGGGATTAGATTTAAAAAAATTATTTATGATTATATCAAACATATTTTTAAATTATTAGTATAAAATATACGTAATTTTGAAAGAAAATATTGATGTTTTATAATTGAAGTAATGAAAATGAAAATTTATTATATTTGTTTGAAATTCACTAAATAAATAAGATATATTATAATTAAGGTCTTCTATCAACATTCCTGCATTATCAACATGATAGTTAGTATTATAATTGATAAACAACACATATATTATGTTCTTATAAAATATTATAAAGTAAAAATATTATACTTACATATTATATATATATTTTTTACCATGTAAAAGGTATAGACATTTTTTAGACCAATCTATATTTAAAACAAAATTCACGCACGATGTACAATCTAGTTGGCGTAGCATTATTGGTACAGGTATAATAAATGCATAAGCGCAGTCTTAGCATGACGCAATATAATCTTTAATCATTCTAACTCCATTATCCAATAAAAATTTAGAATTATAACATTTTGTTTGAAAAGGTAAGAATAAGTTATTTATAATAAATTTTATAATTTCCTACCTTTGATATCATATTTCTCAAATATGAGGATTGACGTCGCAAGATAAACTCTGTCTGTTTATCTTGAACAGTGAGATTTATTAAACCAGTACTGTCTTTGACCACAATGTTAACATTATATCTATTAAAAAAAACTTGTTAAAAGGAAATATTGTACCTAATAAAAAATTAAAACACTTGTTAAGTTTGAATTATTACATATCAATTATTTACCTAAAGAAAATTACCTCGTTATAATATCAGTATCAAAATGTATGCAGTGACGACAAATAATATGATCATAATGATATTCAACTTTTTGATAACAGTGTAATTTTTTAATAAAATTACAATGGAAGGCTTGAAAAGGGTGTGTAATTTCCTAATTACAGTGTAATTTTTTTTCTCTTTTTTTTTTTCGCAATTACAACCTGTTATTTTTTAATAAGAATTTATATTTGTTTTAGATATTTTTTTAATATACAAATTATTTTTTATAGTGTAATTTATTTATTTATTTTTTATTTTTTTTGCAATTACAACATGTTATTTTTTAATAAGAATTTATATTTATTTTAGATATTTTTTAATATACAATCGGTAGTTAAAAATACAATGAATTAAAACCCAATCACAAATTAAATGAATTGGTAGTGAAAAATACAATCACATCACAAAAAAATCAATTACAACTTTTTTTTTTTGAAAATATAATCTAATCATCATTAATAATTATTACACTGTTAATTGGTAATTACATTTTAATTGTAAACTCTCTCTCTCTTCCAAATCATCTTACGGTGTTGATTTTGTTTGTCAACTTTGAAGTCATATTTAAAGTTGATTTATTAAAGCGATGACTTAATTTTGCTAGATGATGGAAAAAAAAATTGGAGTGTCAAACATTTTCCATTTGTAAATATTCTACATATATATTAAAAAATGAAAAAAAAAGAAAAAGAAAAAGAAAAATGTGTAGCTTTTGATATGTGTTTATCAGTTTTATTTCATGGACATAATCAATTGATGTTTCAATTTAAAAAATTAAAAAGTAAAAAAAAAAATAGATTGGTTTTTTAGAGATAAAAGAAACCATCTAACTCTTCTATATAAAGCTTGTGAGTTAGAAATCCCTTTTTCCTTATATAATATACTAGCCTATCACCCGGGCGATGCACAAGATAATTATAAGTATTTATATTTGTTTTAGATTTTTTTAATATATAAATTATTTTTTTAAAGATTTTTCATAATAATAATTTAACAATCTTATCACTAACCGTAGTGTATGGGAGAAGTTGAAAAAATATTGCAGTAACTATGCACGGGTTGTATCTATAATTATTTATATTATTTATATGATGGGATTTTAATTGCTGATCAGTGGATTTGGGTTTGATATGATCTAAATAACTATATTTTTTGAATTTTTACAAAAAAATGTGTAAAAACATAGAGAGGCGATGTAACTAAAAGAAGATAAAAAAAAAAATACACTTTTATAAGAAATGCCAAATAGTGCCTTAATGTGTTACCAATGCAATAATATAAAATTTACAAAGTAAAAATTTACAAAGTAAATCTATGTTCCGTTAAACTAACTAGCATATCACCCATGCGATGCACGGGATAATTATAAATATTTAGATTTTTTAGATTTTTTTTAATATATAAATTATTTTTTTTAAGATTTTTCTTAAAAATAATTTAACAATTTTATCACTAACCATAGTGTACGAGAGATGTTGAAAGGGTACTGCCGTAACTATGCACGGGTTGTATCTATAATTATTTGTATGAGAGGATTTTAAACGCTGATCAGTGAATTTTGACCAAATCAATAAATGCAAGCATGTGGAAGGACATATGGATTGAAAAAAGTTAATAAATGTTGATCAGTGGATTTTGACCAAATCAATAAATACAAAGTTTTTTTTTTAGAATAAAAAATTTAGAAAATTAAGATTGGGATATTGGATCTCCCACAAGGCTTGGGGGTTAGAAACACCTTTTTCCTTAATATATATATATATATATATAGATAGATAGATAGGGGCGCACCAAAATTGTGGCTTCAACAACGTAAAGTAGGCCAAACGTTTAAATCGAAAAAAAAGAAAGAAAAAAAGATAGGCCAAATGTGGTAGCGTGTCATTACTTATCATTTTAGTCACCTATTAACACACTCTTCACTGAACTTCAACTTCCTTCCCTTACTTTTGCCCAACCCACTCGTCGTCGCTACCCGATCAAAATCATCCTCAAGCTTCCTCACCAGCGTCCTCCTCTTCCTAACCCCATCCTCACGGTCATCTTCCTCTTCGATCACTGTCGCGAACTGCCTCCATCGCTTTGTTGCCATTGGTGCCGGAGGCGACGATGGGCTTGAATCCTGGTTACCTTCGATGCGGCCTTGGAGGCAGAGAAGCTGAGTCCACGCCATCAACGGGTCAGTAACCGAAGAAGGCGGGAAAACCCACTCGCCGTTGAACTTGATGTCGGTGTAGATTCGGGACCTAGGTGGGCTACTACCACCGAGACCTTGACTTACCACCATGTTGAAGCATTCAACAAAAATTTATTTATCTCTCTCTCCCTGTCTATGATTTCTGTGATTATTGAAGGATTACTAAGGATTAATAACAATTGTGATGTATTTCTATATATTAACAATTTTGATGTATTTCTATATATATATACTAGTGGTAACTCGTGCCATCCACGAGACTTTATAAATTTTAAAAAAAAATTATAATTATCTTGAAGTAATTTAATATTTTATCTTGCGGTATATATGAAATTTATAAGTTAACTTTTATGTTTATAAATTTTTAAATTACTAGTTTAAAAAAATTAAAAAATATCTATATAATAAGACACAATAGATTTTGAAAATGTATAAAATATATGTGAGATACATTTGATATTAACGGTACAGATCTTTCCAAACAAAAATAAACGGTTGAGATGATTTTTTTTCTCGCCCGTCTCTCTGTCTCCCCTCTTTCATCTCTGCCCCCCCCTCTTTCATCCATCCTCTTTCATACGCTCTTCTCTCTCTCTATCTCTTTTCTCTGTCTCTCACCGAGGAGATGAGATGGAGTGCTGCAACAGCTCCTCTTTCCGAACTCTGTAAGAGAGGGGAGTCGTTGCAAACCCCACTCTCTCCGGCAATCCACAAGTTTCTTGCAACCCCCGATTCCAAGTCGACGTAAGTTGGAAGGCAGACCCCCTTCCGGAAAGGTCTCAATTTCTGGGTGTTCTTCAATGTCATAACAAGTTCAATTTTTTTTGGCTCACAGATCAAAATCGGAGAAACACGATGTGGCGAAGCAGCTTCGTCGAGACCCCTATGAAGTTCTCGGCGTCTCAAGGAACTCCACAGATCAAGAAATCAAAAGCGCTTATCGAAAAATGGCTCTCAAGTACCTTTTCCCCCCCTCTATTTTCTAATGATTGGTTTGGTTTTGTATTCAAAGTTGAAATTTTTGTCTAGGTTAGGATTTTTTTTTTGTTATGACATTGCATAGATCAGTGTTGAGAATTATTTAACAATTTTTGAGATTTTCACATTGTAGCTGATTCTGAAACGTTGGCACAGTTTCAAATTTAGTTTTCCCTCTTTTCGGAAAAAGAAGAAACTTTGAAGGACGAATTTACAATACTAACCTGTATTGTTTGACATTGTTTTGGTTTCCAAATGAAGAACAAAGTCACCTTTTTTTTATTTTTTTTATTAGGATAAATAATAAGAACAAATTTTATTTGGGTCAGTTGGGTTTTTTTGTTTGTTTCCTTGGGTCCTAGATGATGTAAAAACTTGAGATTTGAAATTTTTTTTCCCTTACCCTTTTGATAACAACTAAATTGAATCTAGATGGAAAATGAACAATAACACAGCATTAGGGATTTGGTGTCATGGTGGCTGTTCATTGTAGTAACCTTCAATTTGTTGAATCTGTCTGTCTTTGTTCAATGTCTAGATTAAGTTTTGTTTCTAGAAGTCAAAAAAGATTATAGACAAATATAAATGCCCAAGTGATGTTGTGTTCTGTTCAGTTATCTGCTCATAATATCAAGTATCAATTCTGGGTTTTTCAAGTAGCAAACCAATTGACCCGAAAATTCTTGGTGGAAACAAAGAAATCGGTTCAACAAGCCAGCAAAATTGGGTATGTGATGGGGTTCAGACACAGTTGTGGGTCAGATAGCAATGGTCGTGCAGGATGATTATGGGTGTGGTGAAATGATGCAGTGGAAGTATTGCCAACTTATAGGTCTGCGAATATAATTGCTTTGCAGATTCAAGATGATATTAGAGTAGTTTGGTTCATTGTTTTTTTGTATGGCCATCCATCAGTTTCAAGAAGAGGAGAGGTGTGGTGTCAAGTGGAAAGCCAAATCAATAGGTTCCAGCATCCATTTATTATTATAGGGGACTTCAATCATGCGGAGAAATTAAGTCTGTCAGGTTGACCCATTCAGGGAGCTAAGGAGTTTGATAATTTGATTTTCAGAAACCAAATGGTGGATCTGCCAAGTAAAGGAGTTCAGTATACCTGCTGCAACAATCGGTGGAATTCAGCTGCAGTGTATGAACGGTTGAATAGGGCTTTAGCTTCCTTGAGTTGGGTGGAAGCTTTTAAGTGATGTTCACTAATTACTTCACCAATTCAATGTTCGGATCATAGCCCTCTATTGCTTGATACCGATTGGAGTAATTTAAAAGGTCCGAAGTGGAATAGATTTGAAGCAACATGGTTAAGGGAGGAGACCACACAGCAGATTGTCAAGAAGGTGTGGAGGTGGTCTGCACAGGGGTATAATCGATTCTCAATAATTTAGGGACAAGAGGTTTTGATGAGACACTTGAAGAATTGGCATTCTTTATCATTCCGAAGTATTCAAGGACAAATAGATGATACTCAAAGTCAGTTACAACGCGTTCAATCTTTTCTTCATCAATCTGGGCAGCCTGACAAAGAGATGGAGTTGAGACAACAATTGGATGGCCTTTTGGAGAAACAGGAATTGTATTGGGCATAGCGATCGAAACAAATGTGGATGAAGCTTGGAGATAGAAATAACAGATTTTTTTCATCAAATGGCTCCTTGGAGGAGAATTAGAAATCATATTTCTTTTCTTAAAGATGAAGAAGATCATGTTGTTACAGAACCACAGGCCATTCAGAGAACTTTCATACTACATTTTCAAAAGCTTTTTTCACAAACAAAGGGCCGAATGAGAGTTCTTCGGACACAGGTTTTTTCCCTAACCATTTTAATATTTTAAATGTTGTTCATTGTATGTTAAATGCGCAACATATTCACATGTTAGAATAGCCTTTTTCACTGGATGAAATTAAGAAGGTGGTTTTTCAAATGGGTAAACTTAAGGCGCTGGGACCCGATGGGTTTATACCGGGTTTTTATCAACATTTTTGCAGGAAAGTGGGTCTGTCGGTTGTTGAATTTGTGCTTAGTTTTCTTAATTCAGGGATCTTAATCCAGGGATCTTAAAAAAGAGAGGAGTTGCTGTAAATCTTCGATGTGCTAGGTGTAATCATAGTGATGAGACATTAGAATATGTGTTTTTTTATTGTCACTGGGCACAAAGGGTGTGGAGAGGATCAACGCTGGGGCTTGATTTTAGTAGTGGAACACCGGTGGCTTTCTTTCAATGGTTCAAAGAATGGATGGAACAAGTAAAGGATGATGACATTATCATCCAATCTGTAGCAATTCTCTGGGCCATTTGGATACAAAGGAATAATGTGGTGTTCAATGAATTTGTTCCATCTATTGAACACACAATTGAGGAAGCAAAGAACCTGTCAATGATGGTTATTAATAACAAACATAATGAAACACCTATGAACACAGAAAAGGTGATAAAAGTAGGGGAAAAAATTTGTTCAATGTCTAGGTTAAGTTTTGTTTCTAGAAGTCATTTGAGCCAAAAAGGAGATGAAGACTTGAAGATCAACGTGCTCCAAATCCAAACTTTTTCAGATTAAGTCGAAGCTCTCAACGCCCTCTATCTTTTTAACAAAGGCCCTAGGCTAGATTCACACTCTAGGGAGATCAAATCTTAGAGAGAGTGTAAGTTTAGAGAGAGAGAGTCTCGGATCTAGGGTTTGATCAAAAAAGAAAGTGAAAAAGTGAAGTTCAAAATCGCTACCGTCCGTTGATATAAAACACGCTCGCTCGAGCGAAGACTTTGTCGCTTGAGCGACCAGACACAGAAAATTCTCGCTCGAGCCAAGAAACTCTCGCTCGAGCCAAAAACTCAAAAGTGCGCTGGAGCGAAAGAATGCTTATAGACAAATATAAATGCCCAAGTGATGTTGTGTTCTGTTCAGTTATCTGCTCATAATATCAAGTATCAATTCTGGGTTTTTCAATTCTTTTTGTTGTTGTTGTTCTTGTTGTTGTTGTTGTTGTTGTGTTCTTCAATTTTTATGTAGCTTTCAGCTTAATGTATTGGGCTTTTTGACATAGCGATGGTACAGTTAACAATGATTTAATATTTCTGTTATTTTTCTAGGTTTGTATGACTTCAATTCCTGGTTTTCTGCTTGAAAGCTAGGTAAAAACTGTGCATTGCTACCAATAAAATAGTGCACACAAGACCCATATTGTTAATGAGCCTTCGTTGGACAATTGTTTTATATCGGCGGTGGGTTTTCTCAAATTCCATCCTTGAACCTATTTTCATTTGGTAATTTTGCTTATTTATCTCACTGTGTTCGACAGAGTTATGATTCGACAACTCACTTTGAGTCAACAGTCATGGATGTTCTCAATATGTAAGATAATAAACAACTACCAACATCCACGGACACATGTCCGGATTACTGTACAACAAGGGTAAACCCGGGATCGCTATAATTCGACAACTCACTTTGAGTCAACAGTCATGGATGTTCTCAATATGTATACCCTGATTACTGGAAAGGTATGAACTAATTTTTTTCATAGCAATGAGTTCCTTGCTCATACAGATTTGTCACCCTTGGTTCAAGTGTTTGTTATGAGCATATTACGTCTTCATTATGCTTTTATCCATCTATTTTGTTATGCTGTTATTTTATTTTGATTTGGAGTAATTTATATGTTGGTAAATCATGATTATCGCTTTAAAAAGGTTAAAAATCTCGATAAGGAATTTATTTCATGTTGGTGTTCACTTATGATATTTTTTGTGTGCAAATATTTAGAGTAATCGCTGCCTCCTTTCTTTGCTCCTCCTCCGCCTTCGCCGTTCTTCATTGCACCGTCCCCCTCCTGTGCCCAAACTGATGGATCTGTCGCATGTGAATCGTCAAATCAGTGTGATTTGGGTTTGATTGGTGTGATTAGGAGGAGGGGGAAGAGGAGGAGAGAGAGACGCAGCGTCTGGGTCTGGGTGCATGAGTGTTGTTTACTCTTTGATTTCCATCAGTTTCAGTTTGTATTGCACCAACAAGTACCCCCCTTTTACGCCTGATCTTGATGGTTTTCTTCCTGAAGAACCCACTCTCCTCAAAGGTAAGTCTCTCTCTCTCTCTCTCAGAG